ATCTAATAATATAAGATACCTTTAATTTGTGGTAAATGTTCATTTTAAATGCAGGCCTATCACATAAATGAAAGGATTGATTGATGACTTTAAGAACTTAAATTGCAAGGGCAAAGAGATGACCAAAATTAGAAAAGAGACGTCGGTGCAATCCAAACCGGAACACTATTCGGTAATTGGGTCATATCTGGAGCTATAGATCTCAGATTTAGGTCTACTTTATATGGATGGAAAGGTAAGACATAGGCCTACAACTTTTATATGGATCCCAAGATATAAAAAGGTCATTTTTAAGTCCAAATTATTGCAACAACAAAGAAGCCGAAGCTGTCCTCCAGCCCGAAGCTGTCCTCCAGCCCGAGCACTATTCAGTATTTTGGCCATATCTGGAGTAAGGCCATTTTTGTTATTATCATCGTTTAAGCCTTACATTAATATTCCATCTCCAAGTTCTCATCTTCTTCTTCTTCTTCTCTTTCTTTATTATTATTATTATTATTACTATTACTATTACTATTATTATTGTTTTTGTTGTTGTTGTTGTTGTTGTTGTTGTTATTGTTATTATTGTTGTTATTGCTATTTTTGTTGTTTATAATTGTTGTTTATAATTTATACAATTAACCTCTCTGTGGTTCGACCTCAGTCTTGCTGGGTTATTTATTACTTCGACACTTCTACACTTGGGAGAAGACATTAATCTTTTAGTCGTGTCATTTATCCATTATATTAAACACTCCCTCTCCTATTATAGAGTAAGTAAAATTACTTTATATTCTTGTTTGGTTACTAATATCATAGTACAATTATAAATTACTTGAAAATGTATAAAAGAAATAGATACTAGATTAATAACCTATGCAACATTATCGATCATATTAATTGTTTTAGCATAAAATCAAAATGTTTAGGCATTGATAAGGTGTTTTCTAGTGCAATTGTTTATCCAGAAAAAATTCTAAACTTAATGAACATTGGGCACACTTTTTTTTTTAATATTGAAATAATGATATATTTAACAAAAAAACAAATTAAATACTTAGATGAATATCTATTAAATTAACCTATATTAACCTAGGTAACTTGACAAATTCAAAACTTGAGTAATGATACCATGCACTATAAGAAAATTGATAAGTATAAACAAAAATACTGAGAGAATATTTTTGTTGGTAAATTACCAATGAATTTTACAAACAATATTCCCTCGATATTTATGGAGGGAATTATATTAGGAAAAAATAATTAAAACAAGCAAAAAAAAAACAATGATGTGCCATTTCTACTAACGGAATTACCAACATACTAAAAATTATAAACACTACTCATCATGTCAATTACAAAAGGAATTACTAACGGAAAATTCCATCGATATTTTCCAGAGAGCTCTGGAAATGTTCATTTTTCAATTGCATTGTTAATTACTATTCTTTACAAACAAAATTATCAACGAATTGAAAAGTTGTCGGTGTTATTTTGCGGTTTTCTGAAAAATTTTGATAAAATTAAATATTACATACAGAATTACTGATGGATTGAAAAGTCATCAATGATATTTGACAATTTCTTAAAAAAATTTATTAAATTAAAATTTTAAATTAAATATTACAGATGGAATCACCGACATAATGATTAAAAATATTCATATTTAATTATCTATTGGTAAAATCAATGGTAAAACACTGACATGACCAAAAAATTGATATCTTCTCTGAAATACAGGAGTGTCGAAGTAATAAATAACCCAGCAAGATCGTGGTCGAACCACATGGAAGTTAATTGTATAAATTTTAAACAACAATAATACAACAACAACAACGATGATGAAGATGATGATGATGATAAAGAAGTTATGATAAAGAAGTTGATGAGAACTTTGAAATGGAAGATCAATATGATGATTAAACAATGATAAAAATAAATGTCAAGATTAGAGGATCCACTAATGGTATTTCAAACAAGTATAGTATAAACTTTTTTTATTACTTAACTGGAAACAACACATAAAGGAGGTTCCAAATGAATTATAAATGGTTAACATGATTACATTATTTATCTTATTCGAATAATGTTAATACTTGTAAATGTTGTCAGGCATTCATGATTATAACTTATGTTAGAAACAAATCAAGTTCCTTTCATAGCACAATTGTCGATTACACCATATGGTTAGGCTATTAAAGTACTAATTATTTATTATACCAAGTGTTATACAATATAAATATAGATTAATCATTTTACAAGCAAATATTAAGAGTGAACAAGATAACAAATACAAAACATGTTAGTATCAAACATTAAAATCCATGTTAAACACTATACTTATTCTTACACCATTAGTGTAACCTTTTCACCTTGACATAATAAATTTAGCTAAACATAATGAAAGAGAGAAACATAAATAAATAAAATTGTCTCAGCTTTTCAAAAAAAAAAATTGAGGTCATTTGGACATCTAGAACTCGAGAAATAGGCTGAACACTGAACAGTGTTTGGGCTGTAGGACAGATTTAGACTTTTACGTTGTTGCTAAGATTTAGACTTTCAAATAGTAAAATTGAGTCATGTTTGCCACATAAAAGTTTTAGGTCTATGTCTTAGCTTTCTATCCATATAAGGCAGACCTAAATCTAAGTTCTACAGCTCTAGTTATGATCTAATTATCAAACAGTGTTCTACTTTAGACTAAACTAACATCTTTTTTCTAAGCTTCACCTTCTTTTTGTCCTTTCTATTTCATTACTTTAACTCATCGATCAATCCTTTTATTTATGTGATAGGTCTACATTTAGGATGAACATTTACCATAAATTAAAGGTATCTTATGGTATCAAACTTGTTATTATAAAACATGTTTTAGTTAAAGAATTATTAATACTTCAAGTACAAAATAATGATATAAAACCTTAATAAAAATGTACTTTTAAGTACTAATCACACGCCTCAATAAAAAGCCTATAATCCATAATTTCACAATAGACGAGGCTCCTTTCTTCTTCTTCTTTTTCTTCTTTTTCTTCTTTCTCATATGTAAAAAAATTAATATCCATTTCTTTTTCTTCTCTTCTCTCCTCAGCTCCTTCTTTTCTCTTTCATGCTTATATGTGTATTCTTCTCTTTTCTTCTTTTTTCTTCTCAGTTTTTTCAATTAATATACTTTACAAATTTGTGTTTTTTTCCCTCTTCTTAGCTTCATTTGCAACCACATTAAGGTAAGATTTTTTGTTTTTCTTCTTTTTTTTTTTCATTATATTTTTTTTTGTTTTTTAATTGTTTTTGTTCTTAATAATTGTATGAATATTGTTGTAGGATTTTTTTTTCATATGCTTTTCTTCTTTTTTCCAAGCATTTTGAGTATTATAGAGTGTTGATTTATATTAATTTAATTATTTTATAGTTTTGTAAAATATATTTTTTTTAAATATTTTTAAATAATTACCAACAAAATTACATACAGTATTATTTTGAGGAAAATACTGTTGGAATGAAGCAGATAATTTTTTTTGTGCACCTTTTCCATCAGTAAATCCTTCAATAATAATATTTTTATATTATCAATAAACTTATCGATAGAAAAAAAAAGTATCGATGAAAGATTAATTCACTAACAAAGCATTTCCGTTGGTGATTTCATTGGTAAATTAATTACCAACGAAATGATAGTACAAATATCGATGAAAAATTCTATCGATAAATCTAAAGATTATAGTAATGGTAATAATCCTATAGAAAGTAAACAAAAAAAAACTCATAAAAGTCAATTCTCAATTAACAAAATATTTAAAGATAAAATTGAAACAAATATTCAATTAAAAAATTAAAAAAATGATTCAAGTCAACTTCGATTAACCTTCCAAACTAGACATCAACCTTTTAGTCATGTCAATAACCCTATAAAAAAAATAGCGATCTAGGTTATGAGAATGAGATAACCCTATAAAAAAAATTTTAAAATAATTATAAAGCTCAATTCCTCACCAATCCAATATTGAAGGATTGGATTAGAGAACAAAAATTAACTTTTAAAAAAGAAAACAAATTGGAGTCAACCTGAGCTACCTATCAAATTCACAACCCAAGTCAGCCAACGAATGATTGTGTACATCGCATGCATCATCCAAGTGCAACAAACCTTCTCACACTCTGGCTCGTGAGTTACATGCGACAATCACTTCCCTCCATTTCGTTCAATTCAATCCCTCATTACTAATCTTAATTTCAAATTTGGTCTCAAAAACTTCAATTATTCTAGATCAATGAAATCAAATTTCATGTTACTAAATCGAGCATTGATCGAGTATCAATTTTATTTTAATATTTTGACATTACAAGAAATCAACTTGAGGTCAATTGAAGCAAGACATCAAGTCGAATCCCATGTAAATCCAATTTGAAAGGATAAAATTGAAGGTAAAAGAAAAATCCTTGAGTGACAAAAAAATTATAAAACTATTAAGATGATTCATAATAAATCTACAATTATTCTCTTAAATGTTTTAGTTTTTTTATAATTATAATTTATGTAAGTGATTTAAGAATTATTTTGTAGATTGCTCATTGCACATTTTTCTTATCATTTTACCATTTGTCTACTTCCATAATTTTGACAATAATGTATAATCAAGTATAATTTTCAATGAAGTTAATTATTATGTTACCTTCAATAAGAAAATATTTTTCTATTTACTTCCTAAAAAATACGAAACGAGCTTGATTTGGTACTAATTATAGCAGGATAGATTTGAAAGTGTTGCGGTGAGCAAGACTTTCGAACTCATTTTGATAATCTTTAACATGCTAAAATAAGAATTCACCGAAAGAATAACATCCAGAAACAATACTCACATTGTTCTACATGATAATTGATATAAAACCAATACATTAGCAGTACTGCATGCCAACAAGGGGGGGGGGAAGAAGCGGGGAAAAACAAGGCAGCGCCTTAGCTTAGCCTAATGATCCATGCCGTACGAGTCACAAAACAGCACTCTTCATGCTCCTCATGAAATGGTAACCATGGCAGTGTGGCACCCATTCACGGCTTTACGTTTAACATCATAACACAAAGTTGAAATGGGTGATCTAAGGCCATGTCCATCATTATCATAGTCATTGTCTCTTTCATCAAACCTGTAACAAATAAGCGATCTTGCACTTGAAAAACCGTAGCTCTTTTTAGATTTTGAATTCATGAAGTTTGATTGTGATGAATAAAATGACGAACAAGATGACGAGGAGGAGGAGGTTGAAGACATTGAAGATGATGGCGACATACGAGTCCTTTTAGGGACGAACCTATGGAATAAAGTGGTCAAGATATTTGGGCTTGCATTATTCTTGTGCATGGAGTTTGATTTTGAAGATGAATGATATGAAGGAGGAGGTGTCAAGGGAGGGATACAGGCATCAGCAAAGGTGTGCTTTGGAGTACCTGGCCTTGATTCCCACATGAATGGAATTGCACCTGAAGCACCTCCATAATATACCCTGTTCGAAGAATTGGCCATGGAGGATTCTTTGGACATAATCCTTGTGAAGAACTTGTCATTTTGTTTGATTTCAAGTGATTGTTGAGATACCTCCTGCCCATCACTTTGCATTTTGGGATTTGCTAGCTAGCTAGGCAGGCAGGCTGCTGAAGTTCTTAGGTCTGCAAATTTGAAGGATTAAAGATCCGGGAATGAAGCTGATGATCATAAAGAATGGAATACCTCTCTGGCTCTGTGTGTGTGGGTGTGTGTGTGTGTGTGTGTGTGAGAGAGACAGAGAGAGAGAGAGAGAGAGAGTCTTTGGCAGTGTTAGCAGATTACGGATTAATTAAGGTTGCAGAAGAGACGGTTGTGGCTCATTAAATACGCCGAACAAAGAACACGTGTTAGCATTGATTTGTGAAACCTTGTCTCCACATGGTGTCAAGTAACAACAAATGCTTACATCAAAATAATATTTTGAAAATATATAAATGATGTGAGACATCCTTATTTATTACATTACATTATATTATTATAAAAAATTTAAAACACATTCTTCTTGGAATAATATTTTGTTAATTTTTATTAATCTTTAATTTTTTATTATATATATATTAATTTTAATTTCAATTGTTTATATTATATTAATAAAAAAAATTAAATTTTATAATTTATTTTTTTACAAGTTATCACGGTCTCCAAATAACATCTTAATATTATGTTAGTATTAATTAATTTTTATTATTTATAAAATATTAAAAATAAATAGACAAAAATTGAATGTGAGAAAAAAATACATCTTCTCTGATCTTTTGGTTTGAAAGTTATATTTTTTTAATTTAAAAATTTATTTTATTTATATTTTAATCCCTGAGTTTAAGAAAAAAAAGTAAAAATCATCGAAAAATAAAAACAAGATTACCTTAATAAAAAAATCAAGTTTAGCGTCAAAATATTTCTCTTAAAGATAATAGTTTATATTATCAGAAAAATTAGATTGAGGTTAGAGATAATTTTGTTAATTGAATTTTATATTTTTGAATTGATTTTGATTTTTTTAGACAAGAAATGAGTTTATTGAGGCTGTTAGAGTTTCTTTTTAGGTATTTTTAAGAGAAAATAAGTCATAATTTGAATTTTTAACCTAAAAATCCATAACCCAATTTTTCATCATCCTCTCTAGTTACTGGAAATTAGGCAAGCATATGACACATTGTTTGTCTCTTTTTTATTATAATCCAGTTTTTGACTCTCATTATTTTTTAAATAAAGAATTCAAAAAACAATGTTTTCAATAAATTTAATCAATTTTAATCATTTTGTTATTTTTCATCACTTTTATTTATTTTTATGTGTCAAGTTAAGTTAAGAATAAAAAAAAAATTGTATACTCTTTACAATACTTATAGTATAAAGTCATGAAAAGCATTTTTTTTTTCATAGACTCTATGCAGTGGTAAGATTGTAAAGAAAATGATATTTTTGAAAAATCTAAATTAGGTCAACTTAGAGGTAACTATCTTCTCTGCAAAAATTTAAAGTTGGTTTAATTTAGAGACAACCACTCATTTTTATGAAAAAAAAAATGAAAATTGGGTCAACTTGAAGACAACCAACTTTTTTTGCAAAAATAAAAATAAAAATTGGGTCAACTTGGAAAAAACTACTCTCTTTATAAAGAACTAGAATCAAAACACGTTGGATTCAAACAACTTAAAGAAAACTTTTTGGGTTTAAATTTGTTGGAGCCTTGCTAGGCTAAAAAAATAAAATGAACTTTGTTGTGTTCAAATTTGCTAGAGTTTTCTAGACTTAAAATTGCTAAGAACCTTGGTGGGTTCAAATCTTTTCAGAGTCTCGTTTGACTCAAATTGGTTAGAGTCTTACTGTTTTAAAAATTATAATAAACATTGCTTTGTTCAATTTTATTAGAATCTTGTTATACTCAAATTTATTAAAGTTTTTCTAAACTTAAAATTGCAATGAACCTTACTGATTCAACTTTGCTAGGTTAACATATAAGCCTCATAAAATCATTGCATAATAATAAATAAATAATTATTTGTTAGAGATATAAGCTCTTGTTTAAATTTCTCCAAGACGCGTTTGAGTTTATTGCTTCCATCTTAATATCCTTTAGTTGTTGAAATCACTATTATGCTCATGTCCAAATATATAAATTATCCATTTATTTTTATAATGCTTAAAGAATGGTAGTATTGCCTCCACTTATATTTTTTCTCACTCGTTGTTTTAAGAGACTTTATACTTTCTAATAATGTTTGGAGAGTGTCAATTTTGCACTTTATCTTAAGATTTTGCTACACAGTTTTTTATTTTTATTTTTTATTAAAAAAATATTGACTTTATATATAACTTGCCTTTTATCTTTGATTTTACTCCATATTCACTTTTTTGATATATTTGATAAGTTCAATTATCACCTGAAAAGTGACAATTTGCTCTCTTTCTAGTTTACTTTGATTTTAAAAGAATTAGTTCCATTTAATGCTACTCATCTTTAATAATAATAATAATAATAATAATAGGGTTGCTAGCTCCACCAATTTCAATTCATGAAATTCTTCTTGCTAGCATTTTATCTACAACATTAATTTTTTTAGAAAGATCACATGCATGATCATCATTCAAAATATTTCAAACTAAAATATTATTAATTGATTTAGTCATATTCTTTAAACAACATCTCCCCGAATTGAGGAGCTGCACACCATCATCATCATCATTCAAATTCTTTTAGATAGGTGTTCCATCTTTATTATTATAAAATTACCCTTAAGATAATTATTCACCCATATGATATGAGGTAAACATATATTAACATTATCTTTGCCATGAAATTTGAAAAATTATTTTTCTTGACTTGGGATTAGACTGTGAATTTTAATGATTGATTCATTCAAGTCTAATTATTAAAATAAATCATTAGAATTTAAATTTAAAAGAATTTTTATGATGATTAAATTCTTTTGGTCTAAAACCTAAAATATCATTAAATGCTAAGATATACTTTTGGATATTTGATTGGCATATAAAACAAGGGTTCTTTAAGCTTGAGAAAAAGGGGGAAAAATGGTTATAACTACTTAGATAACTTTTTGCATAGCAAATTTGGCAAGAAAAGGTTTTAAAGGTATTTTTTAGCTTCTAAAACGAAGAGCATCCTGTTTTATATTATGTTAAACTTGTATATTTATTGGTAAATATTACATGACATATAGTGTCTATTCAAGTTATAATTTTTCTCTTGTTTTTAAAGACTACCATCTTTGAACCCAAATTAGTTTTTTTTTTTTATTAGAAAAGACTTTTGAAGGCATATAATATAGATTATGATTTATAATTATAAAAGAATGGATAAACATTAAATTCAAGTGGTGTTTAAGGGTTAAAAGATGAAAGAATGGATAAACATTAAATTCAAGTGATGTTTAAAGGTTAAAAGATGTAGTAGAATTATCTATTTCATATATAGATTTTTTAGACTTGCTGCCTATAATTCATCTTTTTGATGATCAATCTTATTGTGGTTTTAATTCTTCAAGTTTTTTTTTTATGTTTTATCATTCAAGATTTATTTTTTAATTAGGGACATTTCAAAGTGCTTTTTTTTTTTGTCTCTCTTTTATGAAATTTATCCATTTTTATATTTCGCCTTTAACTAAGGATGTTTTAGAGAGTTTTTTATTTTTATTTTTTCTTGCTCTTTTTTGTGATACTACTATCTTTTTTGATATTTTTCTACTCGGAGAATTTTAAAAATTTACCCCTAATATATGAGGTGATCCTATTCATGAGTTATCATTCAAGAAAGAATTATTTATGACTCAAACAAGGCAACAATGAATAATTTTCATAATTATTAAGGAATTATTAAGATGATATTTTTTCATCACAAACCCAAACTTACTTTTGCTTATAAATATTAGCCTCATTTGCAACAATTAAGAAAACTATATGGTTAACTTTAGAGAATATATAGTGGGCATAAGTCGGACCATAATCCAAATGTATACTAGTTGCAATCACCAAATCATTTGATTCTCTTATGGACATTATTTCAAGTAAGATTTTTTTTTTTCTGTATAAGGTTTACATAAGGATGAAATGGATTTTTGTGGATTTAAATAAGGTTAAAAGGTTTTGTTGCCTTATATTTATTTATTGTGGGTGAATTTATTTTTTTTTCAAATATAGAATCTTAACCTAGCATCTCCATGATATATTTTTTAGTCCAATCAAATTTTAGATAAGTTGACGGGTTTACTCTTTTAATTATAGATGAAGATAGAATGTCAAATGCTATTTACATGAAATCATATTATGATTTCAATGTTAATGGTAAGACATAAGAAAATATATTTTTATTAAAAATATGGTGTAGTTACGTAACACATAAAAAAAAAAACTCACAGAATTCAAATGACAAAGCACTTTCATTTTCTCATCAACTTAATTGTAACATCCGTCTCATTTTCTCATCGAATCTTCCAAACATTTCTAGCTTTTAAAGTTGGCTTGTTTTCATTTTCGTGTCAAAACTTAACGTAGTGGGTCTCCTCTTGCTGGTTTGGCTTAGTTGAATGAAAATTGAAAATCTGCAAGCTAGGGATTATAATGCAAAAGATAGAAAAATTAGAGGACTCAAACAAACATAATTCCAACCATTTCAAGAAAAATATTCAGGAATTAAACCTTGATTTTTTGTTGCAATCATTAGCAACTCAAGCCCCCTCTATTCAATCCCAATCCAAAATTAAATCCTTAAATCCTAGCCTCACACTTATTTTTCCCATATACCACAGACGCTTCTTCTACTTTAGAGAAAACAATAAAATAAAAACCACATACCATAGATGCTTTTATCGCCAAAAACTTGACACGACGAAAAGATTGATGTCTTCTTCCAAGTGCAGGAGTATCGAAGTAATAAATAACCCAGCAAGACTGGGGTCGAACCACAGGGAGATTAATTGTACAAATTATAAATAACAATAATACAACAACAATAACAATAACAAAAACAACAATAATAATAGTAATAACAGCAATAATAATAATAATAATAATAATAATAATAATAATAATAATAATAATAATAGCACTAA